GCTCGACTTCCACCGGTCGACTTCCAATGCTGTTGCGCTAAGTGCGTGAGATTAGCAGAAATTTACATTTAAACGGTATCTAAATCTTTTGCACGGTGGGAAAATTGCCTATCACGTTCAACAACAGTAAATCAGCAGCAGATCTTAACCTAAATACCGGAATATTTATTAATTGTTATGAGCTCCCATGCTTGGAATAGATGAATCCTGCCTGTGCGTGAGCGATTAGTAAACCATTAATAAATATGTATCTTACATCGCAGGTAATTGCAAAAAATCACACAAACCGCAATAATTTGTGTAAACAAACCGTGGAAATCTGAAATATGAGATTTTAACGGTCCGCAAGATTTTATACCTTTGCCCTTCCTTTGGAAACCATTCCCTGAATTTATTTGTCTCAAGAATAAAATATCATTTGCCATGAGCAAAATCAATCGTTATTTCTACACACAAATCGCAGTAATTTGTACCGCGGAGATATGAAGTTTAAGATTTTGTAGCCTTACTTTAGAAACCATCCCCTAAGTCTATTTGGCTCAAGAGAATTATAGAGAAATTATAAAAAAATATAAGAAAAAACTCTTTATGTGTCATTTTTGTATCAAACCGAATTTTTCGAAACTTTGTACTCGGGGAAGAGTATACAATTAAAAAAAACAATAGATTTAATTCGTGCTACGTCCATCATTATTTCTAGGGTAATGTCAAATGCACGAAAGTCCGAAACGATATATAATATTTTATAGTTTATACTTTTATAATTTATAAATTAAAAAACAGAAAGAAAATAAAATATAAAAAATGTTACCATCCTATATATACTCGGGATCTTCAGTTAAAATTATTCTCGGAAATACGAAAAAATAGAACGCAAAAGACTCAATGCCCGAGGATCGCAATACCTCATCCCACTGTGCGACGGATGCAATTAGGCGTCGGGTTTCGCTCGACTGTTAGGTAGCCGAGTCGAGTTGTGTCATTTGGCCGAGCGAGACAATCGGATCGCCTTTGAAATTTTCAATAATCGGGCAGAGTGTCGCCCGGGGCGATGAATTCCTGACGGTCGGGCGAGACGGAGGCACGGTCGTTTTCATCTTATTTAGACAACGTCGGGTATAAACAGCCGGAGGAGGGAACCCGCGCCGAATGGCTATCGGGGGCAGTGATTTATTCAGGGTTATTGTCCTGCACGGGGTTTTTGTCCCGGGTGCACGCAGCGGTGCACGCGGATACACCGTCCCAAACGGCAAGAACGCACTTGGACCACTCCGCGGGTACGACATTACTCGGACCGGCTGCCGTGCACCTTTTTCTAACGCGAGCGTACATACCGGGTGTGACGGTATTACGAATTCCGAGCGAGCGAACCGTTAATACCGGTATACCTTTCGCGGCATGCTCGGAACAACGTCCGCAAGAAGCGCGCATAATGACGATGATGTAACTCGAGCTTTCTGGCGTCCATCCACTCCGTTCAACAGCTGCGGCGTAAAGTCCAGTAATCATAAAACGAACGAGAGAAACAGCATTTAATTACTGTATACACGGAGAAAATATTGTAGCGAAGATTACAGTAAATAAAATTGTTGTAATCTAGAATCATACTGGAATTATGGCCGAAACTATTGTAGCTACATATATTTGTTGCAATTTCAATCATCCCGATCGGCTGTTCGACGCAACATTCGCAACGTACGCATTTCAAGCCAGAGATAAACATTTTGGTTCCCTGGATCAGAACGCCTCTTGACGCTATTCTCTCCTCAATTATCGTTATTACTGATCAACGCAGCATCGTTATTAACCAATTAGTGCACTCGAATACGATCTCCCTAGACTGTGTGCACTTTATGTACGTTTAAACTTTACTACAAAATTATTGCAATTACTAGAATGTTGTTTTATATCATATATTCGGTAAATCGTCAAATTTATTATTTCTGTAATAATTTATCATATATATATGTATATATATAAACAATTTGAGTATAGAAACAACATTTACAAAGAACATTTGAAAAAGAAATATAATTTTAGCATAATCTTTGCGTAATTTCCTCCGTGTAAATATAACAATATTAAAAATTACAAAAAATAAGCCACATCCATCAAGTTGGAACCTTTTTATGAAACGAATTTTCGGTTATGATATTGATTTGATTAATGAAATGAAAGTTCTTTTCATTTCAAAATCTTGAAAAATCTTAATTATTTCTCTCTCTCTCTCTCTCTCTCTCCCTCCTCTCCCCTCCTTTTCTTTTTAGACCAACAGATAATGAAAATTGTCATTTTATTGCAACTCCGACTGCGATTTTGCTGAGGAGGGAGAACTAGAGCTATTACTGATCGAAAGCTTTGCAGCAACGTAACAGTGACAGTCCAGCGGGACCTTGATGATCTCATCTCTGTTAATTAACTTAAGCAACGATTAGGCCGAGCGGTTATCCTGAACGCCGATGCTTGCCATTTAACGTGCCATCGTGCTGCCTCGCGTGTGGACCAGGTGTCCGCTTTTTCTGTCCCTTCTCCCTTCCCCCTCCCTCCTTCCTTCCGAAGAATGGGGAGAGGCTGGACGTCGATCAACTCGCGTTTCAACTTCCGCAACTGTAAAGCTTCGACGATTAACGAAATCCCGATCGACAGACAGATTAGTGAGAAGACACGGAAAAGTTACATAGGAAAGTTCCTCGTGAAACCCGAGTTCAATGATCTGTTCTGCGCTTTACAGGAGCCGCTCCAGATAAATCAATAATGTATCTTTTGAGTGCAACTTGTATTGTACCAAGTAGGCTTTTTATTGTCGTTATTGATGCGAACGATTCCATAGATTACGTTACTGCTAATCTGATGAGTGCGAGTTAGCTTTAATCGTATTGATAATTTAATAGCTGAGAAGCGAAGAAAAAAAATTGATATATTATAATATTCTTTATCTTTTAATTGTTTTAATTGATAATAATTTCGATCATTTCGATATTCGATGAAACTAGCAATGTTCACATTTCGATTCAGAGATAACTCAGAGATAATATTTCAGTTATCTGGACAAGAACGACTCCCTATATCATTCTCTCCCTAATTATTGTTATTACTGGTCAACGCAGCATCGTTATTAACCCATTAGTGCACTCGAATACGGTCTGTGTGACACATCGTGACACAGCCTGTCAGGTTTTCAATAAATTCGACATTATCAGTCGTATATACTCTAGTAGAAATCTATGCAGTTTTACTAGACATTTAATCAGTTACTGTCTAGTATTACTGTATTTCATAGTTGTATCGAAACTGCACAAAAACTGGAAAAGAACATAGTTTCATTAAGTTTTATATCGCATACATATGTGTATGATAAAAATTATATTGTATAAAGACGATCTTAAAACTATGTAAAGAATAAGTGAACGCGTAGCAAAACATAGAGTAAGGAAGAGGAAGTTGGAGGAAATCTGGAATTTAACAAAACAATACGCTATAGCAGAAGTGACAAGTAAGGTTAGAGTTGAAAGTGAGCAAACGACAAATGGGCTATATATTAATGATATAGAATTGCATTGCGACAAAAACACATTAGACCACCTTAGAAAGCACTTTAGATTTCCTGTACAATTGTGGACATAAAGGTTGTCCGACTTTTTGTTGGCAACGTAACCTAAAAATTATCCAATGAGAGAATAGTACCTAAGAAATACGTTTCTTATATTGGACTATTCGGTTATATTCTGAAACTTATTACAAAAAATCAGACATTCTTTATGTCTACGACTGTACTGACTTTTATTAAAAGTTAAAATTGTACAATAAGCAAGCATGCACACAATATCCATTATTATTAGCACAAAACTGTCCATTTTATGAGCAATAAACTTGCTTATTAATCGACTGAATAGTTTCTTTGTCCAATTATTGCTCAGTTCTCGGTTAATAAATGATTTCAAATATTGCGCATTTTTTTGTGCACAGTACACAACTGCAAACAAAGCGTTACACCTTGATTGGGATCCCAACAATTTTATTCGTCAGTTACTGGGCAAACGTTAATATAACTGTTCAGTAACTGCTTACAAACTGCGAAATTTCTACCAGGGTATCTCTGTAAAGATAAAAAACTTATTCGTACATTAAATAAATGCATACAGCACAAAACTATGATTTTATTCCTTCATAAACTTTGCTGTTTTCATAGCTTCGTAATTTTCGCGTAGAAATAAACATATCTTTTTCAAATAAATTAAACCTTACGGTGAATAGATATTCACAACACTTCAACAGTAAATAGGGGCAGGGGAGGAAAAAAGGTCACTCACGTGCGACGTATTTTTTCGTCAACTTGAAGCTGTTAAAACGTTCCGGAAAAATTTATATAGCTTCTATCAGACATCAACTAATAGATTAGAGAATCAATAAAATAAATATAATTTTTTAAATGCTTTTTTAACAAGAATCTATGAAAAAAGTCACTTTTTTAAAGAAATCATAACTTTCGTACAGACATATTTTTTTTCTTAATTAAAAAATAAAGTATCTGCTACACAGAGAGAACGATTTGGTTGAATCAAATACACGCTTCTTTGGAATAGTCCAAACGAATTTTTCGATTGATCGAATTTTGTTTGAAGTAACAAAAATATTTTTTTGCGGCTTAGTTCCAAAGAAATATTTTTGTTGTGTCAATCAAATAATTTGTTTGGACTATTCCAAAGAAACATTTATTTGATTCAATAAATTGTTCTCTCTGTGTATAAGGGACTATTGTTAGATTTTTGTTTTATAACATTCTCACCTCACTATTCTTCCAACAGAGTGGACGTAATTTTTACAATAAAATTTGTGTTTCAGCGGGATCCATAGAATCAGCAAAATTTTTTTCGTGAATTTCATTTATGATCATAAAGATTGGTTTCTCCCTTTCAATTTAAAAATAAAGAAATTACGCGTATTTTTTCTCAAAAAGATATACCATCCTTTAAACTTATCCATGCATTTTCATCACTTACCGCCAGCGGTTTGATGTCGGATATTCCTCTCTCGAAATGTAATCACTTCTTCCAGCTGTCAGTGCATGTTGACACAGGCCCTTATTTCCTCTTCAGGAATTTCATTTCAGATTTGAATTAGCATTTTTTTTAATGCTTGTAGATTGATAGCCTTCCCAAACCTCTCAAATACTCAATATTAAAATCCAAAACTCAATTTTACATATCTAACATGCAAATTTATGTACGTACATATATATACACATTTACACATAATCGAACGCATTAAACATACGTGCACGCGCACGATATCCAAAATCCGACCGACAACTATTTCGTGATCCATGGTTAATGCCAATACCGGTGATAAATGATGAAAATGACGGATAACTTTGGAATATGTGTATGTGTGACATATTTTTGCGAAAAATATTGTACCCGTAATTTCATTGATTTTAAATTGAAGGGAAAAAATCGATCTATATATGAACCCGTAAATGAAATGCATAAAGCTACAAGTTTTATGAATTCCATCAAAATATGTAGATTTTACCATAAAAATCACGTCCTTACTTTTGGAGGAATAGCAAATCAAAGATGTCATCAAACAACAATCTAACAATAACTTCTTACAGTAAATAATTTACCCCTAAATTTAAAAAAAGAATATGCATATGATGATTTTTCACGGAGTCATACTTATTCAAATTTCATTCATTTTTGTCTATAATGTTTTTGATCTCATATTTCTTTGAATGTATATAGATGTCTGGATACGAATGGTCCTCTTATTCACCTGAACAGTTAATTTCTAATATCTTAAAAGTGCAATTTTGTCAGTATACTATACATAAAATCGCAATGCAGAACACGTTGCGACACGAACCACTGGTGTTCATTGTTATTGTACGAAATCGAATCCTTTGATCGGATAAAACGGCCAGGAGTAGTACGAGAGCGAAAATAAGTGAAAGCTCTCGATGAGTCTGCGATTCTAAATCACTCATTTTATCGTTCGGGTTTGAAGGGTAAGTGGGTGTAAATTATATTGAAATATAAGAGTAATCGGCGGCGCAATGCGGCGGCCAGACCATGCCAGATCAGGCCAGGCCAGACTCCGAAACCGCGCGGAATTTACGAGCCGCGCCGCGTGAAGTCGTAACGATATAAACTTTTGATTCCGATAAACCCTCCTTCCATAAATCAATGGGCCGCGACGGCGTAAGAATGGTGGTAACAAATAAAGTTGTCGCTCGATATTTATACGATCGTTACGCACGCCCACGAGATATTGATAGCGGCGCGATAAATCGCCGCGCAAGATTGTAGAGGAGATCGATTAATAATAATAATCCGCGGTTAAAGTAGAATAACAACGTGGATTATCGCGAGTATGTCGATGCGGGAATTTGCCGCGCGCGCGCGGCGACTAAGCCACGATAAATTTGACTTCTCGGCCATTACTCGGCCAATTAATTTCAGCGGAGTATGGAAACAGCGCTCGTGAATCGAGTGGGATGCGACATGCTCGCTCAGCTTGTACGAACATATCGCGAATACCCGATAGAATCTACGAATGCGAGGAGGGATAGGCCATTGAATGCAATAGGCTTCCCCGGGGTCGATCGCTATCGACTTTTATATCTTTCGAATACGCACGAGGCTCCGGTGCCGATTCAACCCCCGAAGGATAACAAAGGCGGATCGATGAGCACGTGACTATTAATATGGGACTGTTCCACGGCTTATATCTGTGAAACACCCTTACTACGAGAGTGACGTTTTAATACACGCAACAAGTCAACTGTACGCCTGTCATAATATCAACGATTAGAGCCCCATAAATTTTATCGTAAGTTTAATCTTTTATTTTATTTATTAGAAAATAATATCTTGTTAATATCTTTTATTTAATAAAAATAATAATAAAATAATAAAATAATAATAAAAATAAAAATAATAAAAATAATAATCTAAATAATATCTCTTATCTTCTAAATAATATATAAATATTATATCTTTTATTTAATAGAAAGTAATAAAATCTGCTGTTATATAAAGAACGTATTCGAAACATATTCGGCATAATGATCCGCACACTGAGAGAAAAGACTGGTAACTATAACAAACTACATTTAGTC